CGGGCAAAGGAGGTCCACACTTCACTTCGCGCTTGACGATCAAGGTACGTCCACAGCTGAGACCGGTGGCCTTCGGCCGCCTGTGCGGCTTCCACGGTGTACGCGGTCGCTAGAGACAGAGGAGGAAGTTTCGGGAAGACAGAGAGGAAGGGAATGGAGTAGAGAGAGAGAGAGAGAGAGAGAGGGAGGGAGGGAGAGAGAGAGAGAGAGAGAGAGAGAGTGCGAGAGAGAGAGTGCGAGAGAGAGAGAGAGAGAGTGCGAGAGAGAGAGAGAGAGAGAGAGAGAGAAAGGCGCAGAGGGAAGGAGTCGGAGAGGACGGATGAGTGAGAAAGAGAGATGGAGAGAAAGAGGAAAAAGTTTCGGGAGGGGGCACTTGAAGGGGACGGACGGGGGAAAAATAAAAGAAAAAGATAGATGAAGAGAACGTGCAAGGGTAAGTGCGTGAAAGAGAAAGATAGAATGGCGGAGAGCACGATAGAGGGGCAGGAGACGAAGAGAAAGAGTGCGAAATAAAGAGGGAGAAAAAGAGCGCGCGTGTATGTGTGTGTGTGTGTGTGTGTGTGTGTGTGTGTGTGTGTGTGTGTGTGTGTAGAGAGAGAGAGAGAGTGAGTGAGAGGGGGGGGAGGGGCTGCGAGCGTTTGCATGTCTGTCGCGCGAGTCATATAGCGGTGTATGTGCATGCAAATATGCACGCCAGTGTGAGTAATGCGCAATGGTGCTAGTGCGTGCACATGCATCAAACGCGCAACATGGTAAGGGAGAGCGCGCGACATCAAGCGTACGATTGTATGCGGCGTGAGACACGTTCGCCGTTGAACACCTAGTTAGCGCGTCGCGCTAGAGTACATGCGCGTGTCCTTTCATGATTCCACACATGGTGACGTGTCTCTTATGCCCTTGCCTATATATGCCAGACAGCGGCAGCGGCAACGACGGCGGCGGCGGCAGCGGCGGCGGCGGCGGCGGCAGCGGCGGCGACGGCAGCGGCGGCGGCAGCAACGGCAGCGGCAGCGGTGGCGGCGGCGGAGACGGCGGCAACGACTGAAGCGGTGTTAGTACCGTTTAGACTGGCGCGGCTAGACTCGCGCTAGACGAGGATAATGCCAGACGTTAGAGAGTGCCTGGCACATGACGTAATCCACCGCTCTCTGTGTGCCGCGAGAGGCGCTCGATCCTCGTTTGTCGTCCGTCGCTCGGGGCCGTGCCACGGCCATGCCACGGTCGCCGCCACGCCACGCCACGCCGCGCCGCGCCACGCCGCGCCGCACCGCGCCGCGCCGCGCCGCACCGCACCGTACCGCGTGTACACGTTCAATTCTACGCGTTCACTCTCGTTTTCCACCGCACCACGCCTCGTCTGGCGCGGTGCTCTCGCCGCGTGGGAGTAGTCGTTTTTTCTCTTCCTTTTTTTTTTACATACGCGATTTCGTCACGTTGCCGCGCTGCACCGCGCGCGCGAACCGCCTTTTTTCACGTTCACCGACCACAAACGATTGCGTATTTTTTTGGGGGACACGAAATTTTCACACCTGGAGCACGTGTCGCGTGCGTTGCTCCAAAAGGACCGAAATGTTAAAAAGAATCCGAAATTGTGGAAATTGGATTATTTATTCGCGCGGTGTGATATATACTTTTCGCTCGTACTTCTGATCGCGCGGCAATCTTCGCGAAAAAGCAATCGGGCTACAGTGCTCGCTTGACGAGCAGCGCGCTCGTGGTCGGTAGGTGCCCTATTTTTACGAGTGACACAGGTTTGTTGCACAGCCGCGTGCGCGGCAAGTTGAAAACACCGGCGGACCTAGGTATATATAGATCTCGCGAGTAGCGCATGTCGAGGAAAGAGAAAGAAACTGCGGGAGAGAACGGGGGGCATACGTCGTGGCGGATGATGCAGAAGAGAGAGAGAGAGAGAGAGGGGGGGGAGGCGAGAGTACAAGAACGGGAGGAGACGTAGCAGAGCGTCTGGTAAAAAATAAGAAGCGCCTCGATGACGATGCGTGCGTTCTTGAAAAAATTTAGCCACCGCGCGTGCATTCGCTACGTACTCGCTTCGTATATATAGGCGCGCTCGCGCACGCAAGCAACGGATGGCATAAAATTTTCTGTATGCTCCGTGCAAAGGCGTTTCTCTCGAGGACAGTTTCGAACAAAGCTACAGTCGTACGCACTCAATCTCTTTTATCAGCAACGTCGATCTTCGATCGACGTCGAAACTGTGTGTGTGTGTGTGTATATGTGTGCGTGTGTATGTCGGGAAGACCGTTCGCCCGATCAACGGTTTGTTTGCTCATTGCCCGTATCAACGTAACACGTATTGCTATTTGTTACTTGTTATTCAGTTAGGTGAGGGTAAGGGTAACATCATAGTTTGTGGCCTGTCGCGGACAAAAATGTTGTTTTTCAAATCGATATTTGTTACGTTCGTGGCTTGTGTGCCACGGCTACATTCTCATTGGCTTCCTAGTTTATTTTGAATTTACAAGATTGATATATATCACGCAGCAATTAGCGCGCCACCACGTTGGCCACCTCTTAATATTCTTGGAAGCGAGTGCGAGAGGGAAAAGGGACGTATCCCGTGATAACGGTGCGTTCTCCTTGAACCATAACGGATGCTGGATCTCACCCGTTACTCCCGTTCTTCCTCTCGCTCCTTACGTTCGTTCGACTTTACGCTCTCGCTCTCTCGCTCTCTCGCTCTCTCTCTCTCTCTCTCTCTCTCTCTCTCTCTCTCTCTCTCTCCCTCTCTCCCTCTCCCTCTCTCTCTCTCTCTCTCTCCCTCTCTCTCTCTCTCTCTCTCTCTCTCTCTCTCTCTCGGTGGCCGCCGGGGAAGCGTCGTCGTCGGCGCATCGACGCTGTAAAATGGCTGCTTGACTTACCTCTCGGACCTCGGTCTACGCAAATAGAAGCTGTTGGCTGCGTGCGCGCGCGCGTTCGCGCTACATCTCGCAGACTTTATATCGCGAATATATCCATGTTCCTTGTACATCTACCGCATTATTCGTAGTTTGCACTCTCGATCATACTCTACTTATCGCGCCATTCACCATATCTCGCAGAATTGTCAACAACTCCGAGCAGCGGTAGGAGAACGCGTCTTATCTTGCGCGCGCGCGCGCATGAACGCGAGCAGACAGGTAAAGTTACCGAATGAAGATGCAGGATGAGCTGATAGAAGAGTCGTGGAATTCTCGAGCTTGGCTTCGTAATATTCAACGCAGACTAATTTTATCGGGCGTTCTAGTACGATTCTACGAACACACATGCGCGTGCAGTTTGTGTACGTGCGCAAATATGCGTACGCGTAATACGAATCGGTCGATTAGATTGTACGCCTAGTAACTAGATTACGCCGCGGCGGCGGCCGCGGCCGCGGCCGCGTTATCTGCGAAATTAGACCCCGACGGGCGAACGAGCGCTATTTAGGCTCTCGTTCGCACGGACAAACGCGTCTCGCGCACGCGTTTGGGAAATGATCGTTCCAACAATTTAGCTGACGCGACAGTTGACACGACGTAGCTTACGATATTTCGATACTCGATCGAGCGTTCGTTCGTTCGTTCGTTCGTTCGTTCGTTCGCTCGTTAACTTCCGACGCCTCTTCCGGCGTTCCGAGTCAAGGTGGGCGACTCTCTTTCTCTCTGGTTTCTCGCATCTCCGAGAGATTAGCGCAACACGCTTTCTCCATATTCTCGAGGATTCGGCCCGAATACTCCACGGGAGAATCACCGATCGATAAATATACGTATCGCAGCCCTACTAAATTTCAACGTTTCTAAAGACAGAGGCACTGGCTGGACGCGGTTTGTTCGCTTTGTTCGGCTTTGTGCGATCGATAGCGATCGATGGAGGAGCTTGCACTCGCGCACATGCACGCGACTTCGATAAAATTAACAAAGCGAATTCATTCACAGACCCGGCTAGTGCGCGCGCGAGTCAATTGAATAAATTCTCGTGCGCGCATCGATACAAGACGCGATTGAATTGCATATATTGCGCGTGAATTCAGGTGCTCGGCGCATTTTACATGTCATGCCATTTTTAAATTCCCAGCCACTCGGCTACTACGTGTTTGCAACGCGCAGCGTCATGAAGAAAAAGACTGCGGGTGAGTGCGTGCGATTTGCTTTCTTTCTCGCAGAGAGAGAGAGAGAGAGAGAGAGAGAGAGAAAAAAAAAAAAAAAAAAGAGAGAGGGAGAGAGAGAGAGAGAGAGAGAGAGAGAGAGAGAGAGAGAGAGAGATTCGCGGAACCAACGTCGTCGGCGTAAACGGCGATTTATCCGACTCATCCATGTTCGCATCGATCGCGGTCTGGAGGCTTCGATCAACTTCGATAACGATTAGAGCGTGTTCTCTAGTTATCACGCACGATAGAGACTGACGCGATCACTATCTTTTTCCTTTTGCAAAATCGCCCGACAAAATCGCACAATTTACTTTTACATCATTGTCCAAGCAACAATGTTCCTCTTTATCACGCGCGATAGCCGCGCTCGGTCGCGATTGGCATCTCTCTCTCTCTCTCTCTCTCTGACTTGCTTGATCTGACTTTATTCGGAAAGTCGCGTGGCGTCGCGAAGTTCGTAAGTAGCGTGGGTACACACAGGAAGGTCAAAATGTGGAGAGACACGGTGCGCGCGCGCGCGCGCGGAGCGAGAAAGAGCGTCGCTTTATTCGAGCCACTCGAAATGTGCGCGTCAGCTGATCGTGACGAATCATATCCGAGAATCGATCAAGCAGTTACCGCGACGAGAGTATGCCCGGCCGAGGCCGAGTATTTGTGCAAACGGCCACGCGGTTCCTTCGTTCGCGCGGGGACGAAGGTTCTTTGTTTCGTGCATTACACGCGCATGTGCACACATGCGCACGCCCACATGCGAGCGCGAACGCGAGCACCAGTGAAAAAATGCGGACGCGCGTTCGTGTGTGCGTTCGTATCGCGCGCGCGCGCGCGCGCGCGTCGCTAGTGTCCCGAGCGTATGAGAATTAGGCGGCCACCAGAAATAGGCTGTTGCGGAAAAAAGAGTCGCCGCCCCAATTTCTTTCCGCAAGTTGCCGCCGTCGTCGACTCCTCGCTTTCGTCGCTCGCGCGCGCTTATCCAGCGATTTTCGATACGTTTACATACGCCATTGTTATTTCTTGATGCACGCTGTTTCGCATTTCCGTTTATACAAACGGAAATTGACAATCGCGCCAAAGCGTCGCGATCGCATAGGCGGCGTTCTTTGTCGCCGAAACGTCTCGATTCTTTCATACGTGTGGCGTATATTGTGGTGCAGTGCTTCACCCGAGAACAATTCACGCCCGCGCGTGAGAGGTCTCTCTCTCTCTCTCTCTCTCTCTCTCTCACTCGCTCTCTCTCTCTCTCTCTCACTCGCTCTCTCTCTCTCTCTCTCTCTCTCTCTCTCTCTCTCTCTCACTCGCTCTCTCTCTCTCTCACTCGCTCTCTCTCTCTCTCTCTCTCTCTCTCTCTCTCTCTCTCTCTCTCTCTCTCTCTCTCGCTCGACTCGACTCGACTCGACTCGACTCGACTCTCTACTCGGGACGAGTGATCAGGATGTGAAAGACAACACAGTGAATAGTCGTGTTTCTCTTTGCGCGAAATGATCCGTGCATATCGGCGGACAGAAGGATGGACAGAAGGTGTCTGGTTTGTGACAGCAACAAGGTCACGCTATTCTTCCCCCGTCTAACGTCAATCGCTTATCGCTCGGAAGCGCGCGCGCGCGTATCTCTGCTCGAAATGTGTGCCTGTCTTCACGTGAGAGCTCGTAATCTCGCCTGCTGTATGCTGCGGAGAGATGATCGCATGTGCGTGTGGATAAATCGTTACAGGTGCGTCTAGTTTCGTAAAACTTGACACTTGGCACGCCTCGAGGTGCGCCGAAGCGCCGAGAGAAGAGTACTCGTCTGAGAGATTTTAGCCAGCCGCGCGATCCTTTTTTAAACCGTCTCGTAAACACGTACATGTATATACACCTCGCGATGCAACCGAGTGTCTGCGTTACAATTAGAAATATAGCCGCTGACCTGTTTCCAGTATTTTTAAGCGCCGACGGAAATATTCATGGATCATCGTGTCTCAATTAATCGTACGGAATATCGTCGGCAAGTAGGTCGGACCGAGTCGTGAGACACGACGGAAAACGGTTACGGCTTCCGAGGGAGAATTGATCAACGATTCTTTTCTACACCTCTTGTCGCGCCATTATCGATCGTTATCGACAATCTCTCTCTCTCTCTCTCGCTCTCTCTCTCTCTCTCTCTCTCGCTCTCTCTCTCTCTCTCGCTCTCGCTCTCCTCTCTCTCTCTCCTCTCTCCTCTCTCTCTTCTCTCTCTCTCTCGATCTCTCTCTCTCTCTCTCTCTCTCTCTCTCTCTCTCTCTCTCTCTCTCTCGATCTCTCTCTCTCTCTCGCGCGCGCGCGCGCGCGCACGCACACATTTGTCTCACTTTTATTTTAGATGGGATGCTCGCGAGAAACGCCCAGCGTGCTCGCTGCGTTAGATGCAGAGCGAAATGCACTCATTGGTACGCGCGCAGTCGTTGCCCTGCGTTCAAATCACCTCCGCACATACGGTGCGATACTATGCGAGCCGTGTCGATACCGTGGCGAGATATTGCCGAGCAACACGTGTGTGCGTGTAGAAAAAATCCTTGGCGTTTCGATCGTCGCGTCGCGATCGCGCCACCTTTAATTCGCAACTAGAAAAATATCCCGAACGTCGGGTGATTCCGACATTGAGTACTCTTCGTTACCGCAATGTCCTATCGGACATCGGCAATGAATTTTGTCGCTGACTCTGTGTCTTCTGACCGTATGGGTGTAATCGGCAGTTAAAATTCTGATTATTATACTCTACGTCGCGACCGTCGCGATTCTGCTTTCGCGACGCGACGCGACGAAAGTATCTTACATTCATATTGCGCCGTCATGTTCAATCCCCAGTTTGAGAGTCTGGTCTACTCGCACAGTAGTACAAGATAGCGTAAGAATAGACGCGAGGTATCTCTCGCGTGCCACTCGTGTCTCGTGTGTGAAAGCCAAGTAGCGCGTGTCTAGTACTGGTCAGACGCTCTGAAAGAGCTTTTCAAAGCGAGCTCTTTCCGAAAGGTAGCGCGGCGAGAAATAAAAGTGAAATTTACCGCGCTTGCTACACTTTCTCTCGCCTTCCCCTCTCTTTTGACGCTACTCTGATGATCGGACAGATATCGAATTCGCGATATTATTAAATTTCTTGCTGACATGTATCGTGGTCGCGGTGGTATTATCCTTTTTGTCTTTTTGTCCCCAAATGTCTCAACAATACATGTATATATTGTATTATCATACATTTCATATACAATCCATATTCGTGCCACTTTTGGCATATATACAACGTAGCTTCACATAATTTCCACTCCTCTGGTCCACTCCGATCTCGATCTACGCGGTCGTCGTCGCTATATTGACGTGATTCTGCAACAATTACTTTGGCTGCTACTCCTGGAGAGACGAATGATGATATTCGTTCGAATATAGCGAAAAATACTGAAAAAATTTGTCCCATTTCTACAAATGTCAGAGAAACGTCGCGTTTCAATGACCTTTCCGAAAGAGATTACATATATCGTGTCGGTGGTAAATGTCGTTCGTGTGTGTGTTCACTGGAGATCGGTTAAAGTTTTCTTTCTCACCTGGTTCGCGTCGGGGACCACGGACGTTCCCACGTTTAGCGCCACGTCCTGTACGCGACGCTGTAGTGGAGCGTACTGTTGAAGAGAAATAATTGGTTGTTTGGCTGTCGACGGATTAGCCCGCCTGAGGTCAACGGCCACCAAATGTTTGCGAGTGCAAGGGGGAGGAAAGGGTACCGGTTCGGTTAGCGGAGGGGCCGAAAGTGGCAGAGAGAGAGAGAGAGAGAGAGAGAGAGAGAGAGAGAGAGGGGGGGGGTGAGGAGGAGACGTACTGTGAGGGAGGACTTGTGCAATTGAGGACGGCGACGGGACGGAGGCGAGGAGGGGGGTTAGAAAGGCAGAAGAGGATAGAGGATGAAGAATGGGTGAAATACGTACGTAGCGATCGAGCGTATTTCACCGATCGCGCCTTACCTCGCGTGTGCAAAATGCATTTGGAGAGCCAGTCTGCGTCGTTTCCCTAAACAAAACGATATTCTTTATCGCCGTTGATATACGCCAGTGAATCCCGGAAAACGACGACGGTCTCGCGGTTGGCAGGCAACAGCCTTAACCAGCAGGTGCACCAGCAGGCCGCGAGAAAGGGCCCATTTCTCGCCTGCTCTGGTACTGCTTCGTAGCAGCGAAGCTTCGATAAATTGCCGCGCGGATCTGTCCGATAATTAAACGACGCTAACAGTACAATCGCTAAAACAGCGATTTCTCACCTTTTTTATCATCGTTTATCAATGGTGAATGGGTATGAATTCACACAGATAGAGAATAACGTTGGTCAATCCAGTACTGGATATTTGGATCGATGATTCGCCCGAGAGAGAGAGAGAGAGAGAGAGAGAGAGAGAGAGAGAGAGAGAGAGAGAGAGAGAGAGAGAGAGAGAGAGAGAGAGAGAGAGCGTATCGCGCACACTTCTTCTCTATACACGTACGTTCTCTGTACATCTGTACATTTTCTTTTGCACCAACACAAATTCTCTTACATTCTTCTTGCGACCTCTTATCGCATATCGCAGGTCATCGAAGGTGGAATGTACAACGGGCCCAAGATAAAATTGTCATATTTGTCATGGTAACGTGTTATTTAGATAAATTTAAATAGAAAGGAGGTCATGCGCGAGAATAGTTTCTGTTCTAAACGAAGCATGTGTGAACCGTTGCGACTATAAGCGGCTACTATATTACCGATACCGAGTTCGAGTTATTAATGGAATAATTCGCGGTGTTTCTGGCCTCAAGATCAAATAAAATATGTGTGGGTGATGTGACAGCGGATCGTGCAGTTGTGGTGAGCAAGCCGCAAGACAAGTGTATGAACGACACGGGACGGGACGGGACGGTAAGAAGCCGTCCGTGCGTACGAAGAAGATAGGGTGTGAAGAAGAAAGGCCGGTGTCACGCGCGCAAACACGGCGATTACACGGTGTAGACGCTTTTGCTTGCGATTCGTGCATCCATCCGAACATGAGCAACAGAGCAACTTACAAAGACTGCGCCGCTCTGCTGGCAGTTGGAGTATGTAGTTTTTAGACGGACTCGCGTGTGAAAAATGACACGACGGTCGAATTCGAATGACGAGGTCTCTTTTATTGAATGGAACGTCCATTCCTGGCTATATATATATATATCGAAAAGAGACTCTCGCTTCCTCACATCTGTGATTCGCAAATTTGTCGACGTGCGATGGTCCAAGAGTTTAGCGCTCGAGGTGAATAGCGTACGAGTAAATAGATTGTAGTAGTACAACAGAAAGTGCAAAGCACGTGTGTCGCTCACGTTACGTTTAACGCGCAATTCCATTTATCGAGAATATATATATATATATATATACGGTGAAGTCTCGACGCGTTGCTCGACACACACCATGGTCGATATACATTCTACCAAATTTTCACAAGTCGTTCGTTCGAGATCAATTACCCGTGGCCGTTACGTGCGTGATTAATAATTCGTAAGCTCGCTCAGGTCCGTATCTCTCTGAGAGAGTGCTGTGCTTCGTGTGCATCCGCGCTGCGTTCACTTTTGCGAAAACATCCTTGAGATTCCGCCAAATCTGCGAGCAGCGTTCATTAAAATCAATTACGCGCGGTTGTAAATCTTGACCGATCGTGTATCTTCGAGGCTCCGCCGCGAGAGTCTGTGCGAGAGATGTTCTGCATTTAACGCAACTCCCGTATTTGGCGAGGATTTATTACGTCACGTAAGATCAAGGATTACCAGTTCCGAAACGTTCGCACGCGCATGTTCTCCACCTTCGCCTCCTTCTCCCCTTCCTCCCACCTCCCTCCTCCATCCTCCTTCCTCCCTCCACCCCCCCTCTCTCTCTCTCTCTCTCTCTCTCTCTCTCTGTGTGTCGGCAGCGGTGTGGTCACCTCTGCTTTTGGACACCTGCTGCTTCTCGCTGATGCGGACGCGCGAGCCTGCAAGCGAAGCGCAGCGCGTCACGTGATCCGACTAGTCGTTCTATGTATATGCAAAACCATTATTATACGGAAGGCCGGTGAAAGTTGCGTCGTCGTTCCTACGTATGCACATCTCGCACCTCGCGTCGCGCTGGAAGACGACGATAATGTTACGACCCTGACGAGTTTCTATTTGCAATGTAAATAACTCGTGCGATCTCGCGAGTGTCAGCCGTTAAAGTGTCGCGTACTAGCAACCGATAAGATGATGAAAATAGTATTTGGGACTGAACGATGGCTCCTTGTCGCAAAATAGCTCCCTGGCGAATTGATCGTAACCAGATTCGCGCAAATCGATCGTTTGAAAAGATATATCCAGCCGGAGCTACAAAGTTGAAGCCGCGAGATGAGACAAGCGGCAAGCTTGTACGCGCTCGCGTTTGGATAAAATTTGGCGACGACGAGTAGGCTGGATGCACGCGTGGCAAAAGGCGCGAGCGCGTGCAAGAGAGAGGAAAACGTCGATAAGTACGGAGGCGCGGTAAAGGATGGAAAAGGGCGGCAAAAGGTGAAAAGGGTGAAAAAAAGGGAGGAAAAGAGGAAAGGAGAGAGAGAGAGAGAGAGAGAGAGAGAGAGAGAGAGAGAGGAAAAGCAGCAACGACTCGATCGCTCGCCGACGAACGTCGCTCGCGCGTTCGTACGCAATCTAGTCCGAGCACAGGTGCCACAGCCCTCACAGCCTGGGCTCCTAGGAATCCAATCAATAAATATTACAATGGAACCCCTAGAGAAGTAGGGGCGCGCAGCGTATCCTCCTCTCTTTCTCTCTCTCTCTCTCTCTCTCTCTCTCTCTCTCTCTCTCTCTCTCTCTCGCCTCCATCTCCACTCCCTCCTCCAGCTCTCTGTACCGCGCCCCATCCTCGTGCCGTCATATTCCTCCTCCTGCTAGTCGCTAGTCGGAGGAAAAAGGATCTGTCCTACGTCGCGCTCTCGCAGTCGCCTCATTCCTCGCACACTCGCGCGCGCGCGCGCGTGCTCGCCTCTCTCTCTCTCTCTCTCTCTCTCTCTCTCTCTCTCTCTCTCTCTCTCTCTCTCTCTCTCTCTCTCTCTCTCTGCCCTCTCTCTCTCTCTCTCTCTCTCTCTCTCTCTCTCGTCCTCGACTACATCCGCGAAACTTGGTCTCCCACCCTCAGTCGTCCAGCACCCCCGTCCGCCGTCAACCCCCCTACCGTCCGCCCTCCTGCCCCCGCTCGCCCGTTCTCTCTGTCTCTCGTTCTCTATCTACCTTTTTCTCATCCTCCCCGAGTCCGCCGCCAGCCGCCACCCGCCCCTTCGCGCGGCCCTCGAGCCCACCACCGTTTACATTTTACTTTTCTAGTAGCGAATTAAAACCGCGTTCATGCGCAGCCCGTGGAAGGGCGTAATGATTTTTTGAGGGGGCGAATCGAGTGGGGTCGCCTACGGTGGTGCGCGGTTCGCGGCAGCGAGAGAGAGAGAGAGAGAGAGAGAGAGAGAGAGAGAGAGAGGGAGAGAGAGAGAGAGAGGGGGTAATAGCTCTGGGTGCTACTGTCGAGTTTAGCAGGAGCAGGACGGCGCGCGCGTGCCGTGGCAAGGATAAGCGCGAGTGAGCGAGCGAACGAGCGAGCGAGCGAGCGCGAACGAGCGCGTGCGTTTTTGCTTCGTTAATGTTAACGAATGAGGGGTACATAATTATCGGGGAAACGGCGGAGCGGATCTCGTTTATCGATCTCGGCTGAAACACAGAGTGACCATTTTACATTTCCATGCAAAGCGGGTGGAATCTATCCTGACCATTTTATATTGAGTTCTCCCCATCTCGAAATCACGTGCGAAACACAGAGGCGGTAGCCCTTGTCTTATTCGCTCTCTCTCTCTCTCTCTCTCTCTCTCTCTCTCTCTTCCCCTCTTTTCACCCGGCAGATTGAAAACTTGTTTGAAACGTATGTGACGAGAGTGAGGGGAGAGTGAGCTCTTTGAGGAGAGCATTTCAACGACAATGAATGTCAGTGATTTTCCACAGACTAGGACATGACGCCATCAGGATGTGTCATTCTCTCTTTTTTCCTCTCTCTCTCTCTCTCTCTCTCTTGTCTTTCCTTTAGAAGGGCGTTTGAAAAACCGTAACCGCCGCACACGGATCCGCTAACGAGACTCTGGCGCGTCAACATTTTTACGGCTCGACTCTCGACTCGCGGTTCGCAGCGGTTACGCGCATTTTCGTCTCATGAACTGATTACGGCGGGGTAGAGCGCCAGAGCGTCGGAGGAGAGTGTGGCGAGAGGGAAGAGACCAAGATTGCGGGTACACGGGGAGAGAAACAGCCGCCGCGGCCGCAAGCATCAACCTCTCCCACCATGGCGTCCGTAGCCGGCTCTCTTTCTCGCTCGCTCGCTCACTCTCTCTCTCTCTCTCTCTCTCTCTCTCTCTCTCTCTCTCTCTCTCTCTCTCTCTCTCTCTGCGTACGCACTATTTTTTAGTCCGCACTTATTACGACAGATGTCTCATGCTCCGATAAAGAATAACGGCGGGCGAGCGAGAGCCTTCCCCCCGCTATGCTAGTCCTAACCAGGCTCGGGAACAGCAGCCCGTACTTGGTGCTTCGTAGCGGTGGCTCGTGGTGTCTCCGCAACGCGCCGGTTTGCGTTACGCGCCTCTTTTTTTTCCTCCGACTTCTCCTCGTTCCTTCCCCCCTCTCTCTCTCTCTCTCTCTCCTCTCTCTCTCCTCTCTCTCTCCTCTCTCTCTCTCTCTCTCTCTCTCCCCCCCTCTCCCATCCCCCTTTTCTATACCACCTCCGTCTCCTCTTTTTCCTTCTACCGCTACCGCGCTCCGTCTCACTTTCAACCCCTTAAGCCTATCGTTGTTACAAATCGGCAGCTGCTCGCCGCGCGATGCTGCGACAGTGATCATGTCCATCGTGTCCTCGAACTTGTCGATGCGGAGGCTGAAGGTAGACGAATAGCTAGACGGAATCGTGCGCATCCTTGGGCCGTTTGCAAAACGTGGCTACTGGCACACGTGGTGGTAGGTACGTTCATTCCGCTCCGGACGTCCACCCGTGTCCGTCGATCCCGTTGTCGCGCGCAGTTGCGTATGCAGTTAACTTCACATTTCGCGGTCGCGTCGGATTTCGCGCGTTCCGACGCGACGAACGGAAGGGAAAGGTGAAGCCCGCGCGAAATTACGAGATGGTTTCTCGTTTGTCCGCGCTCGTCCGAGTGTTGGGCTTTCTCGACAGAGCCCAGACAGAGTCGTACGAAACTTTGCTCTTCTCGACGATCGGGACAGTGCAAATTGTGGCGACGTGTGTGTGTGTGTGTGTGTGTGTGTGTGTGTGAGTAATTTGTGTACGTGCACGTGTGCAAACCGCGTGATGATGCCCCGCGTGTGTGCCGCACGAGAGGATCGGTCCCGTCGCGTGTACGAGCGTACATGCCGGTGTGTTGCGCGCACGCTGAATGCATCGCGCGCGAGCGAGCGAGCGAGCGAGCGAGCGAGCGAGAGGGAGGGTAGCTGCATGCGTACGCACGTGTGCACGCTGTGCAACCACCACTGCGTGCAATGAGGGGGTGGATCTGCTCGGACGCGCGCGACACACGAGAAAATCTCTCTCTCTCTCTCTCTCTCTCTCTCTCCCTCGCGCGCGCGCGCACACGCACACATGTAAGATTTTTACAGAACGCACAGAGCACGAAAGAAACGAATGGTTTTCAGGCGTAACAGCGATAACGAGGGCACCGCCGGGATTCAGTCGATTGATACCGTGCGTCGTCGGTGAACGATGATATTTAACTACGAGACGCGTGCCGCACAGTGACAGTCGATGTGAAGAAGAGAAGCGAAAAACTGTCAGACACCGCGGACACAAAAATCGAAGGATGCTGGCAGTTTGAAATCAGCCGACAACCGCATCGACAAGACGACGCACGTGAGAGCGACTCTCTGACAGACACCGCAAGGTAATTAATCAACCGATCACCTCTGTGTTCAAGAGCGCGCGTTGCTTCAGATTTGCTTTCGCTAATAGCGTCAAAGTTGCACCGCGACGCGGCTAACTTCTCGCGGCGCAGAAAATTTCAGTATGATCGGTGCTTGCTTTGAAGATACTCGCCCATACCGTCCTTTCGCGTTCTTTCGTCGTACTTTCTCTCAAGCCGTCTTTCTTTGTAATCGAGTGTCGAATATAAATATAATTACGTGTACGTGTACGGTGTGTAATCTTTTCTCTTGTCGCTCTCTCTACTTTGAGGTGAGATAGCGAGCGAGAGGCATAGTAAAATCATTCTGAATCAATTTTTGCATTTATTCGTAAGTGCGTGCTAATTGCCCAAATTTACGATTAATCGGTACGAATATCTCGGTTGGAAAATTCAACATATTGTAATCACTGAATCAGTTTCAAGTCGCGAGTCGAGTGAATGGTGGGGTAGCTAATATCGCAATTGGCACACGATGCAATTGCGCCGATTTCTCTTCACTTTGTCGCTTCGCTCGCATTTTTCTGGCCGTTTTCAGAAGAAGAAGAACCTTACTTTTGGATAACAATCTTTCATCTGGGAGTTTTATTCTTGCTTTAGTCGATGAAAGAGTAGTGCAATTTTTACAAATTTGCATTTCAATGTTATAAACACTCGAAAATGATATCCGCAGCTATACACACACACACACACACATACGATAAGAGGAAACATGTATCTCTTTTGCATCCGTATTTTTTCGTACTTTAAACATGGATTATGTACCGTGTCAAAATTGTACCGGCTTCAATTCATGATCTATTGTACAGTTGTGCGTTTTAGCACATGCTACTCCAGTTGCCAGATTTATTAGGCAGTTGCAAGAATGATATGCATTTGTTGCTTTATTTAACACGCAAATCTCTCTCTCTCTCTCTCTCTCTCTCTCTCTC